AGCCCCGAAATTATGACGACACAATGCCGACGTTTCTTACAACAACGTGTTGACATATTCACGCATTCCTTCTCGTTCGTTGGTTGCTTGAAGAGTTGATAGTTTCCTCGCCTTCGTTTTTGTCGCTTGTTTCGCTATTTGAATCAGTTAGAGACCTTTAGTCCATTTGCTTTCGATTTTCCACATTCCTTTTGAGCTCCTCACTTCTTTCCGGCTTCGCATTTCTTAGCCTTAGACCTCATAATGAATAAGGTTGATGCACTACTTCGCACTCCGTTTTCGCAGCTGCCGCTGGAACAAAAATTAGAGGTACAACGTCTTGGGCCTTATCAACCAAAAAATTGTTCACTGGAACAATCCCATGACGGAGGAAAGCGTCGGCGTACATTCTGCGCAGAAACTTGGTATAAAAAACACGAATGGTTGTGTTACAGCGAGGACAAAAATGCACTTTTTTGTTTTTATTGCCTACTTTTTGCTACCGCCCGTGACTCACGTTGGTGTAAATTTGGTTTTAGAGATCTTAAACATCTTTCCGAGCGTGCCAGGGATCATCAATCTTCTATGGAGCATCTGGACAATGCAGTAAAATACCGAACATTCGGAAATGTTAATATTGCAGCACAGTTGGATGAAGGACGCGCGGTTTCTATTCGTCGGCACAACCAAAACGTCGAGAAAAACCGCCATGTTCTCGGTCGATTGATAGATGTTTTGAAGTTCATTGGTTGTCACGAGCTGTCCCTCCGTGGGCACGATGAACGGGCTGGCTCTTCTAATAGAGGGGTATTTTTGGATATGGTGGAATACACCGCATCCCTAGATACAGTATTGAGAGATCATCTTGATGCCGCAACTGTTTCGAAAGGGACATCTAAGGATATCCAAAATGATTTGCTCGACTCAATGTATAAAATTTATTTACAACATTTGGCTCTGGAAATTGAGAATTGCCAGTTCCTTTCGATTCAGTCTGACGAGACAACTGACATCACGTGCGTTTCCCAACTGGCTGTGATTTTTCGGTTTGTGAAAGATGGTAAACCTACCGAGAGATTTCACAGCTTTGTACCAATCGTTGATCGCACGGCTTGCGGGATATCGGCTGTACTGAAAGAAGTGTTACAGCCTTACAACGCGAAGTCAAAATTGATAGCTCAAACTTATGACGGCGCGGCAGTCATGAGTGGGTCGAAACATGGTGTTCAAGTTTATATAAAAGAAGATTTTCCTCATGCGCATTTTTTACATTGTTATGCACACCAATTTAACCTCGTTATTAAAAATATGTGTCTTGATACCCCTCTCGTCCGTATATTTTTTGCAAATGTTTCGGGGTTTTCTTCATTTTTTTCCGTTTCGCCGAAGCGCTCTGACCTCCTTCGCCAGATATGTAGCCGCCGTCTCCCAGCTTGTGCACCAACACGTTGGAACTTCCAATCACGCGTGGTGCAGGGCGTGTCCGAAATTAGGTCTGAGCTCATTGAGTGTTTCAATGGCATTCAGAGCTCTCCGGTTTGGGACGAACGCTCTGTGAGGGAGGCGGCAGGTCTAAAGCGTCTGCTAGAAGATGGTGAGTTTTCATTTTTTCTCGCTTTTTTCTCCACAATATTCTATCACGTGGATGTATTATACGGCGCATTGCAGTCAAGGCTAATGGATGGAGCGTCTGTGCAGTCGTGTATTTCAGACTTCTGCGATGCTGTATCTCGTATCCGGGAAACAATAAAATACGACGACACATGGAGTGCTTCTTTACGCCGCGGGCAAACAACGCAGCGTTTGATTTTGTCTGCAAAGGAATGCTGTGACATTCTGGTGAATCAAATAGGCGATCGTCTGCGCACTGAACACCTTGCCGCGTTCTCTTTGATGAACCCCAAAAATTTTTCAAAATTTGCACGTCAATTTCCCATCCATTTGTTGGCTACTGTCTCCAAATTTTACCCCATGATAAACGTGGGTAAATTGGAAAATGAATTGCGATGTATATACACCAATCAAACTTTTTTGAACATCACATCAACTTGCGCGCTCTATGGGTTCCTCATAGATAACACTCTAGTAACTACCTTTGCGGCGTCTGCAAAATTTCTGGACATCATTTTGACGACGCCTATTTCTTCCGCCGACGCAGAGCGAACATTCAGCACGCTGAAGCGTATTAAAACGTATCTCAGAAACACAATGAAGCAAGATAGATTAAATTCCTTGGCTGTTTTATCCATTCACAGAGACGTTATTTCTGGGATGCATGACTTTAATCAGCGCGTTATTGAGCATTTTGCTTCCAAGAAACCGCGGCGTGTTGCATATATGTTCAAGCAGTAGAAGTCTAGCAGCATATATATCTATGAGTGAGCGACGCATGTCCTTATCTTTGCATTACTTTCCTTTCTTCATAGTAACGTTTTAAACCTTATTTTAGGTTTTGTCTGCTTTCCCGAAGTTTCTGTTAATATGTCATTGTATTTATCTGGGTAAATATTGCCTTTCCTTTTGAAAGAGCTTTCAAAATAAACTAAGTTTATATTTATTAATCCCTTGACTTGGACCGGTTTTAAAGACACTTTCTTATCGTTAAAAATTGTCGCTTTTGCCGATTGGTTGTTACCGATGGAATGGTTTTTATACTCATAAAATGATGGGAGAACTTACAGCGCTCATCCTGTCCCCGTAGATGGGGGTGACTTGGTCCTGCAGTAGCTTGCCCCAGTTGTCAAAATGACCACGCGCCGCCACTGGGAAATCATATTATTTGAAAAGCTGACGGATCAGGTATATAGCCGCCCAGGTATACCTTTTTCAATGCTTGTTTGTATGCATCGTAATTCATGTTTCGAATACTATCAGCCAAAGAGTTCCATAATTTAACACCTAAATATTTTATTGAATTTTGTGTTAGTTTGGTGGTGAAACGATGCACATAGTAAGAACCACGGGTAGAAGACCGTGTACTATGTGAATGAATATTACTTTGCTTATAGAAATAATGAGTAAATGTGACAGGGAGTTTATTGTTATGATGTTGATGCATCAGTTTCAGTACCTCTATTTTATGAATATCTGTCAGTTTTATAATTTGAAGTTCATGGTGGATTGGATTGAGTTGTTCGCGACGTCCACTACCAGAAAGAGCACGGATGGCTCTATTAGAGCACGGATGGCTCTATTCACACATACTATGTACAGGCTGTGCGCCATCTTGGTGCACATACTTCTGTTGCTCCGATTGCAAATTAAGCCTCAAATAATTTTCTGCAACACGTATCTCTGCAGCAGCGTGCAGTCGATTTCTTTGCTTCCTTTTAATTGAAGCTAGTGATCAAAATGTTTTTTTTGCATAACGCATTAACTGGTTGAAAATATGGACAACAGTTTGATTGCTCGATTACTTAGCGATGGGTATTTGTCATCAAGAGATATCCAAAATTGTGACAGTGATTCTTTTTTAAATCTGGACTGTATAGTAGAATCCCAATTTTAATCAAGGTTTTCATTTATCATAGGGTTCATCATATTAATCCCTCTGCAGTTGTTCGACCCCTCAAACGAAATGAATTTTCATTACAATGACATTGTCGTTGGTAACTTGGCACCAGGCTTAAAATCCTACTGTTTCTGCTCAAAATACTGGAAAATTTCTCTGCGGTTCATGCTTTTTGCGCTTCTCATGGCCACCTGCAGGGTCGCAACAAGTTCATATCTTACTGGATTATTATACTGTTCTTGACTGTTTTCTGGTTTCAAACAAAGAAATATGCATAACCTTTTTACATGGATGATCATATAAATTAGGAAAAGCACGCAAAACAGAAAAAGCACGCGTGCCAATTTTTAGGTTTCTGAATCTTGCGAGATTTGACGGAGCGCATTCGCGATGAATCGAAGCCGAAAAAGCGAAAAGTGTGATTACTCGGCGCCAAGATGTCGCGAAAGATGGCGGAAAAGAAAATTGCATGATAAACCATCGCAATCTCGTCTTCGGTAAATCAATTGAGACGGCATAAGAACAGCAAAATTTTCCCCGGACCGGCAAAAAAGCTTCGCGGACAGGCACCAATCCACGGACCGCCGGCTGGGAACCACTGCTCTAACCCAGGGCTTCTACTCAAACTGGCGGTACGGGCACCGAGGCGCAATATTGAGCATTGCCCTTTAGAAGATGCACGGAAATTTTGTTTGCATAGTCAAAATATATTCTAGGAATGTCCGGACCCCGGTAGTTTTTAAATTTTGTGTACGGACCTTTGGCTAAAATAGTCGAATAGTCATGTTCTATTACTACAGGATCAAATGCCTCAAAACTTAGATTGGTTTATATTTGTTGTTGTAGCTAGAAAGCTATTACTTTTACTTATTTGAAAAAAAAATTCTGTGTGCTCTATGGAATTCTTTTTTCACTATAAATTTTTGCTTGATGACCGTCCCGAAATTAAAGAATTCGCACCGTGCCATGGTTCCGTGACCGCATATATCACACAAAAACAAGTAGTTGGAGCATAATGCCCATGCATTTTAAATCGTTATCCCATTCGTCTCCATTTACTTATATGTGGACATGGGTTTTCTACACGTGTTCAAATCAGGACGAAAACAAGGAAGAAACGTGATGTGCAAGATCACACGAGATAAATCAGTAAACTATTTGTGATGCGTACGTGAGGAGTGGCAGCTAATTTAAATGCCGTCCAAATAGCTCTATGCTATGTTCTTCTATTGTGTTCTTGGTTTGAAATTGCGAGGGTTCGCGGTTACTTCAGAGAAGCATAGGGGGTCCGCGGGCACATATTATGGTTTGAAAACCACTGCTCTAGTGTACATAATAATTATGTATATTTGATTTCGGTCAAAAACTCATTTGGAAAAGGGAAAAAGCGCTCTTTCACTTTAACGTGTGATATCGCGATACCATAAAACGGCAGGTTAACTTCTCAAGTTTCAACAACTCATAAAAATAATTTGCTTTCCGCCGATTCTACAAAAATGAAGCATCGTGATGAATGTATAGTTTGATTCTTTTGGGCAAAGAAGAAAAATACAAAACTCAAGTAAATAAGAAAATAAATAAATTAAATATACCCTCCCAACAGAATTATTATTTGGCAAGGAATAAAAACATATTATAGCTACGAACAGTAGCTAAAGCTAAGTTTTAAATGCCTCTTCGTTAAAACACAAGCGAAAATCCTCTATACATCACTAAATAAATCATGCAATGATATGCTATTAAGTCAGAAAGTAATTCAAATAATATCCACCAAAAGATTTCGATATAAGTTTCACAGTGCCACAAAATATGATTTTCAAACAAATAAGAAATTAAAAAATAAAACTGAAAGCCTGGCGTACATCGGCAATTGAATTCACTTCTTCGCATCGATGAAATTACATTTATGTATCATTAAAGCTTGCAATTTTCTCGCTATGCATATGCATGGTTTATTGAAACTTTTTACATAATTTGTTTCAAACATGCCGTCAACAAATCTCATTGTCTATTTTTTGTGAAATTTAAAAACTAAAAACAAACTCATGACATTTCCAATATTTCATTTTCCAGACGTTCTCTTTCTTTTGGAGTGAGTGGAGTTTTAGAAGACCTAATACTATTGTTAGATCGTCGTGACCCGACACTTCTCGGAAATTTTCTCGATTTGGTGTTATTATTGCTCTCTGTGCTATTAGAGCACGGAGCCCATAAGGAGGGTTTGCCAGCATTCGAACGCTTGGGTGCGGACCTTTCTTGCACAGGGCTTGGAATACTAGATTTTAATCGACTTTTCAGGACACTCCGTTTACCAGTTAAAGGTAACTGCTGCTTTTTATCGATTTGATTTGGTGATTGTGGCGAGCTTTTATCGCTGTGGTAACCCGTTGACGTGGAGTCAGTTTCTACAGCAATCATTCTCATTTCTTCGTCGACTAGCGCTAAATCAGCAGATGACATTCGAGATGGTGTCTTTTCATTCACGCTCACGTTTTTCGGTGATTCTGACTCCTCCGTTTTTACTCGCTTCCTACTGACATCAGAAGATTCTCTATCATGTGCATTCTTTGAGGTTGGCGCTCTCGAGGAATCGCTCGACGATGGTAAGGAAATGGAGATGCTGTTTGTTCGGAACGTAGATGCAGAATGTAATTGAATATCGCTTTCCTTAATATATGAACTGTTCCTGAACGATATTTTAAAGAAAACTTGATAAACCAATTCATTAGTGTTTTTTATATAATGTTGGCATTGGTTTATGGTATATATATGGTCAAATCAAGAACATTAAATCATACTATAGGTAAAGGTTAATGTAAGCTATTGGGTAAAAAAATACCTTGTAGCGTTATCAGGTGTTGAAAATAGCGATGCTTTTGTTGAACTTCTAGATAATTGAGACAATATTTTGGGTGATCTTCCTTTATTACTTGATTCAATTCTGTTTGAGCCCGACTTAACAGAAACAGATTCTTCCCAAACTTCCTTTGCATCATGATATGACGCTGTAGAGTTACTATGGCTAATTTGTTCATTTGCAGTCTCAATGGCAGAATTATCCATTATGTTCCCGACAAGATCATTCTCATCTAATAAGTTATCAGTTGATGGGCATTGGATACCATTATTGTTGTTATTGTTTCGCGTTCCCATTGGTGCAATTTTATTCGAGGTTTTGGTTCCTTTTCTTTTTTGTCTACTAAAATTACCATTTTCAGTACGATGACGTGATTCTTCTTTTTCTATTTTGAAAGTTGACATGGGTATTGATTCATTATCGTGGTCTTCCCTTGTTTGTTTTGTGTTATACACTGTTCGACCATTTCTTATAGATACGTCACTCCCAGTTGCTCTCCCCTCTATCACTGAAGGCTCAGAGGAAGCCAGTGAAGAACAAGATTCATCGACAGACAGTTTTTCTCGAATTAAATCTCGGATATTCCATATTCGTATTGTACCGTCGTAGGAGGCGCTAAAAATCATGCTGTCGACAGCCTGTAAATTCATATGAATCATGAAACTTTTACCAAACTATTTTTCTTTTATTTATTTGAAAAATTGCACAGAATAATAACTCGTATTTTTGGTATAGCCAATGTCTTTTGCAATTTTACTTACCTCACTACGAATTTACACGTGCTTTCATAAAAATGTTCACTTTAGTGTTAGAAATATCATAATCATTAATAAAATTTGACATAGTTTATTTGACATTAGAGTAAACATACCATGATGCAATTCACTGCATATTTATGGCCTTTAAATGTTCTTTTCAGAGATCCTGATTTCGCGTCAAAAACTCGAACTGTATTGTCGCCAGAGCTTGTGATCACTGTTCAGTGCATAAAAGAATGATCACAAATAGGGAAAAAATGTCGTGAAAATTTTCGAGATTTAAAAACTATTATGAAGTGTAAAAACAAAAAAAACATTTACAACAGCTAAAGCGTTTTGAAGTCCATACAACTAGTGATGGTAATCTGAAATCGTTTTGCAAAGAGATGTAACACTTTATTTTTAATGATGTTTTTCATTCTTAATTCACAAACAAATTTGCAAATTAAATGTGTCATCTTTAATCATGAACATAGATTTTATGTTAACAACTCACATAATCCTTTGTGATATTTCATGTCCGAGATCATATGTTCATGTCCAGAATATTTTCGTGTCGTGTCTCCAAATTCTGCTACCCAGCATCTAGCGGTGCTGTCTACACTTGCGCTATATAACAATTTTTGATTCATCTGAAAATTATTTTACAATTTTATTCTGATTTACAAAATGAATACAAAGCTGCTTAGGATAGCTCATTACTCTTTTATTTGAAGTAAAACAATCAAATCGAAATCTGTCTTCTAACATAGTCTATAATTCAGGGCTACTCAACCGGCGGACCGCGTCCGAATCCAGACCTTTCGAGTATTTGATTCGGACCGAACCTAATTCCAGGCTTGTTCATGGGACATATTTTTCTGTTCCATTCCCATCCCATAGCAATTATGCCTGTCCCATCCCATCCAATTCCCACTGGAATAAAATTCAGTAAAAATTGTTAAATTTAGGTTTAGCGTCTACTAAATAGGACTACATGTACGAAGAGACATATAAAACAACAAAATTTACCGACTTTGTTAACTTCATATTCATAACTATGTGTCCATCAACCCCTTCACAAAGTATATTGTTAGGGCTGAATATATTTTGCTCTTTATAACTAACAAGAGAATTCGCTCATATATATAAACACGATGTCGATAACGAAATGTTTTACCATCATTTCCCTGAAAATCATACGGTTTTTGTGTCCCACGTGTCTCATGGGAAATACAAATGTGTGCTGTCCAATCCCATCCCATGGGATGTTTCCCATGGACAAGCCTGTCAAATTCTTTATTTTGGATCATTAGCCCCACTTTTAAAGTTTCATTTTATAAAATGACTTTGAATGTTTTGAATATATATGAAAAGAACTATCACACCATAATAAACAATCTTGATTACCTGATAAACATTAGCCGATCGAGGAAGTGCGCGTTTAAGGATGCCGAAATATAATTTCTGAAAACACCAGACTTAAATAATTTTGAATTTTTGTATGCGGTTTTTCGTTAAAAATAGTTGAGTAGCCCTGGCCTATATTATGCTATTGACGTAGGCTATATTACGATCTCCTTCAAATTATATGGTAAATTTATAACCAAGCGCAAATGTGCCCGATTTCAACATAATAGTCCATGGTACAAGCTACACCATAACTGCGATTGCCTATTGTCTATCAAAACTAATTTTCTGAACTATTTATTTTACTTAATGAGAATTATCCTGAAGTGATTTGTTGAAAGTCATGCTTGAAAAATAAAATATTCTAAATTTTATATAGTTTCGATGAGCAAGTCCTCCCACTTACTTCTAGACATATAACCGATCCTTCGTGACCTTTGAAGCTTTTTAGTAATGTCCCACTCGCTAAATTCCACTTTTTAATTGAAAAATCTGTTGACCCTGTAAAAGTAGTACGACAGTAATTAGCATACGGACAGGATATCGGCTCATCGTATCGGATATCGGATTGACTATAAACACTTTGTAAAGATATTGGTAATTTTAAATCTTGTTACCTGTGTAGAGATATTTTTTGTCTCTGTCCATAGATAAACAAAGTATTGCTCCTTTGTGACCACGGAAAGTTCGAAGACTAGTACCTGAATGAATACTCCAAATCTTGGCAGTACAATCCATTGAACCTAGAAAGACAATGACAAAAGTATTGAAAAAAGTTTCTTCAAGAATCCACACGAGTCGAGAAATATTATCTGTAAATTACTCCTAGGATTGCCGACCATCCTTTAGTTCAAAGGACAGTCCTTTGAGCTTTTCCTTTTTGCCCTTTATGTAAAGTAAAAAATGCCGTGAACTGCCCTTTATTTTTCAACATCATTATTACTATAAGATCTGGAAAACATTCAAAAATCAAGAAAATATTAAATAATTACTTTATAGGACAGGAATGGCGAACCTTTTTCAATAAATGAGTCGAAAATTTCATTTTAATTGCAAAAAATAGAAGGTGAGTTATAGATACTGATATATAAATAGATGCATACTTTTATTGTAATTACATTCGTTTAACTATGTTTGTGTTTTTGACATTCTGCGTTGATTTGAAAGTTCACCGGTCCGCAGAAATAGTTTCGAACTTTACCGGTCCGCAAACTAAAAAAGGACTTACACTTAGTTACACACGCGAATTAAACATTACACTTTTTGGGTTTGTTGTCTTTGGTTTTGGTTATCATTAGTTTCTGTGAAGAAAGTACACTGATGTTTTTAGAATGTTTTTTGATATGATCGTTGGGTAAGAATGCTACCAATTTGAGTTGTATAATTTGTTCAATAAGTTCACCTATATGCATTTATATTGAATATTGTCATTATTAACGGATTATGAGGTATTCTTGAAGGTTTATACAGTTTTCTTATTTATTTACCATTCTTATTAATTTTATGGTGTTTATTTTTGGGACATGTTATTTTGTTTTAGAAAATCATTTTTCAATCTACGTTGTCCATCTCTTATTCTACATTTTTGAATATTTGTCGTTTCTCATCCCTGAATGTGACAATTCGTGATACGCATTTCACATTTTGATGTTTGTGTCTTGCTCAAGATTTCATCCTAATTTTTCGATTTGTTAGTCTTCGCTATGCTACGCCTTGTGCTACCGTGTCGTGATAAAACAAAAATGAAGTTAAAGTTTATAGTTTAAAATTGTTCATTTTCAATGCCACAGCAAGATACAAATGAAGCATAATGTGAAAGATTTTATAATTGTAATATGCGTGTATACCGGTAGTTATCATGCATCATTATTAGAAACATTGGGTCATTGTGAATAAAACGTGTCAAGGTTCGGCTAAAGATCTACTGCGCATGAAATCGACGTGATGTATAAGCTAGATATAACTTTTCTATCAACCACATCACGTATATGAGGCGCAAATGAGCGCTACACATTAAATCGACAGTCTCATTTTTATCAAATTGGTTTATTTTGATATGATGGTGGTCATAGATAAAATTGTCTAAAAAACAATAAAATTGACTTATTACTGTTCCGCTGCATTTAATTATTCTTTGTTGAATGTTTACCAACACCTATGCGCTTAGAGCTATTCAGTTATTTAGTTCACGTGGGAATTGAACAAGCGTTGCAAATTCTTAGAAACCAGTTTGTTTACATGTTTTTACTCGAAAACAACTGTACTTTATCGCGACCTCCGCTTCGACATTACAAATATACTTCGAAATATCTTACTAAACAAGAATGAGAGTAGAATATGATTTGGTGTTTTCAAATACTATAAATTTGGTAGATATAAGATAATCATGTCTCATTGAACATTTCGGCTATCGTGTTCGAGTTATTCAAACAAATCGTAAAAAGGTTTACATGTAGGCATATACATGAATTGTAATCCAGCTCAACTTCGAAATTGAATATTTTTGCAAGTTCAACCTAAACAGACAAATGTCACCCTTTGTCTGTCTTTTGGGAAATTTTGAATAGCTAATTTCAATTTTTTTTAGCTGTAATATTCACGATTACATCAGACAAATTCAGCATTTCCTTCCATTTCATTAACAGCATTTCTGTCACAAATAAAATTTTCGTGCGTCGTGCGATTAGTCAAGGCTTTACTCAAGATAGCAAACACATAATAATTTCCGAAACAATAAAGGGAAACTGAATTTCGTGGTGGCAACTGGCAAATCTGCTCACACCTTGGGAAAACATAAAACATGGAAAAATACCCGATTTACCCACCAGTAATGAGAGCATCCTTGTTTCGATCGATGTCTTCGGCACCCATGGGGTTGTGCTCTGCAGTTTTTACGTATAGCATTGGTAGGATGCTTTGTTTGTGTCCGCGTAAAACACGAGCCGCTTGCCCAGTGTCAACGTTCCAGCATATAACGGTGCGATCGTATGACGCACTGAGGAGATAGATACCAAATGGTAGCAATGTGTTGACTATTCCCCTGAAATAAAAAGAAATGAAGTAAGAAAATTGATTTGAACTACTTTTCGGTATTAATTTATGAATTAGAATCAAATCTGGTATCTAATCGCATTGACATAACTTAAAAATAAAGTGCTTAGTTACAGAACAATCTTTACTACTGTGACGTAACGTATACTAAAGGTCATCATATAAATTTACAGAAAGATCACATCAGCGCGCTTTGTGAAAGCTCAATATGTTTATGCGAATTTAATGTCCGTTTACTTCTTTAGAATTAAAACATCCAAAATGCATTCGATCCAAAATTAGAACATGTAACTGTCAATCAATAGACTATTTTTCTATCGACGACTTTAGTTGAAAGTATCTGTTTGAGTAATTAAATTGTTGAAGATGATATTTTCTTGATACGTTTAATAACAATGTAAGAAGTTTTCATACTTTAAATTGATAAATTTCTCTGACTTTTAATCACGGTTCATATCTTTGTTCGAAAAATAGTAGTTTGTTTCGAATTTTTGTTATGTTATAGCTATTGTACTCGTATGATTTTTTCTTCCGTAATCTTATTTTATGACATACATGACTCTACTGGACAGATAATTTGTAACAGCCAACGAGAAGTAGTTCACGTAATGAACGTGCATTGTGTGTGTTCGAGTTACGTGCCTGATTAAAAAGAACAGTTTACGAGTTTACAATATTTGATTCTACAATCAAAATACAATCTCGTGGCGACTTATAAAGCCCAAAATCTATTTTATATATGCGCATATTCAGTCCTACTGGATAAGTAAGCGTGTTTGCAATTATATTTTAAATTATTCATAGTCAAGAAGATTGTTTTTTTCTAAATTATTAAATTCTTTCCAAGATCTTGAATGCTTTATATTTTGGCGAACGTTTAATTGAAGTGCGTCTAGAACTTGCTTGGACAAGATCAACATGGAATAAACGATAATTGAATTTGCCATGAAATATTTATGAAGAATATTCTCCGCAAGTGGAACAAAAAAGATGCTTAAGTTGGATGAGGTAGCATCAATATTCATGAACAATTAATAAGTATGAATTTCAGGAAAAGAGTTCCTTTATCGCCATTAAATGAAATTTTGGTGGCGGGAGAATGAAATTTTCGATTATTGATAAATATGTTGCCATAGGCATTAGGCTAGAACATAGGGCTCTCCAGAAGTATGTGGACCGATATGGAGGTAACTAATTTTGTTCGCCTACTTTACATCGAGTTGTGTACAGGGACTGAAAATTATGGGCAGGGGGTATATTCACTCGGATAGCACAGACAGTCCCCGAACCCATAGTAGAACTAAAATAACGAAAATCGGAATAAAATTATGACCTATTCCTAACCGGGTACACATACTACGGGAGTACCGAACATAGTTCTAGAAAACAATAATTATTTAAATAACATACATAATTAGGCAACATGAGAAGTTGATAAAACATATCAACTGTAGACGATAGGGGAGCGTGTTGTCTTTGCCACGATTGTATAGAAATCTGTATTAGTTCTGTTTATTATACAATGGATAATATTCGCGGTTAACTGATACCTTGTGTTGCTCATAGTGAACGTTGAAAACGCAAATATTGTTTCTATGAATCACATACAACGTGATTTATGTGTAAATTACTCTAAATAAACGATTTGAGATATGTTGATGCGTAAGAAAATATTCATTCTTCCAGAACAGATATCGTCCATTACACTTACCAATATTGATACTACGCTACTTTTATATAATATCTTCATCTCTCGACACGTACAAATTTATTTATTTAGTGATCTAGTTTTGCAACAGAATATTCTATTGTTACACTGTGGACACACCTATAATTGCTGCGCTCAGTGTCACTTGCAAGTTTTTACTTTATCACTCTTTTATATTAGTCATCTGTAATACTCGTTACACCAAGCATTACTCAGCAAACCTGTGCATTTCCATCTTTAAAACGCAGTTACCAGAAAACACATTCCACTTTCGGATTGTTTTATCCACGCTTCCAGTTAGCGCAAATCTGTCTTTCCATATTTTGCAGCAGCTAATATATCCGGAATGCCCCTCTAGAACAACCTATCAAAAAATGGGATAAATTCACTGTGAGTTATCTGTGAAGGCTTATAACTATATAATTTTATTCCATGATTTTATTCTATATTATTCAATGGGTAAATCCTTAAATTGCGCGTTATATGTCAAAAATTCGAATACTCAAAATTCAGCGCTGTTTTTTTGTTTTTTTTTCATGTTTGAAAACCTCCTTGCGATCGATTCGATTAATAAGGTGTCAAATGCGTGCTTTTAAGAAACTAATTTTGTGGCCGAAATGTATATATGTTCTTGGTGATTCTTATAATAAGGCATAATAAAATAAAAAAATCATTCTCAGTATTGTTATTATCAATGTTTTTGCTATCAATATTGAATATGTTGATCTTGAAACGAGACAGCGTTATAAGTGGTTGATTTCATGTAACTGGATTGCGAGTGATGAAATTTCAAATATTTACTCAGACACACACCAAATCAACCATAAAATATCAATTGATCGTAAGCACTGAGCATAACAAACTGTAGACCGCAAAATTCATTTTTTAAGCCACGTAAGACTGAATCTTTATATCTACAAGCATTAATGAGGTCTAACTCGAAAATGAGAAGGGGAACTGTACAGCCAAATATCGTCATGCTAACAACCGAATTGCGTGAGTCATTTTTGGCGATTTTGAGTTTTTTATAAAATAGGTATTTATGTAATGCTGCGCACCTGTCTGTTAACTCAGATTTTATTTTAAGAATTCCGAAACCCATAAAAATGGAGATTTAATATGACATGCACATTTGTGCAATTGTTTCGTCATAATGAATTATCATTGTTACCGCAGGACTATTATGACGTCACAAAGGCAAAATAACCTCCGCTAAGTATTTCCGAGTTTTCGCATCTCGGATTCTAGCTTAGCGCGTATTAATTTGAATTTATACTACAGTATAGGCACTTGTGATATTCACTGTCCGAGTCCAATACACCTTGGTTGGCTTTTATTTTGGGTGCATTGCTGTTTTATTCTTCATATTTAATCTTAGTCTTATTTCGGTGGATGTGCAGAACAGAGGCGTAGCCAGCATATTTTGCGCCCGGGGCAAAATATAAAATTGGCGCCCCGACCCCCACGTTTAATCATGTTTTCTATTGCATTTAATTGTATATGTAAAAAAAATTATATTTCGTCACGCTAATAACCGAATTGCGTAAGTCATTTTTAGCTGTTTTGAGAAAAACGTAAAAAAACTTCCTAATGATATTGCTATGCCATTGAGAGTCTTTAATTTGCCATAGTTCAACTTTTTGATCGTAGCCGGATTTAAGTTAATTTGTATGACGCAGTCATGTGACGTCATAATGGCACACTGTGATTTAGGCAAAAATGTGTCTATGGCTAGAGGACCTACGCAATTTTGCAACTTGTCTATATGTACCAGTCCTGAAAACCAAACAATCCAAAATCCCCAAAATAGCTAATCTGTTTCAATTACATTATTTTTTATGTTTAAAAATATATATTTCATCAATATAACACGCTCTGCACATCACCGAAATAAGACTAAAGTTAAATATAAAGAATAAAACAGTAATGTACTCTTATATAAAAGTCAACCAAGGTGAATTGGACTCAGACAGTAAATATCACAAGTGCACGCCTTCCTATACAGTAGTATAAATTGAAAATTATTAGCGCTAAGCTAGAATCTGAGATGCAAAAACTCGAAAATCCTTCGCCTAGGTTATTTTGCCTTTGTGACGTCACAATAGTCCTGCGTTAACAATGATAATTCATTATGACGGAACAATTGAACAAATTTGCATATCATACAAAATTTCTATTTTTATGGGTTTCGGAATTCTTAAAATAAAATCTGAGTTAACAGACAGGTGCGCAGCATTACATAAATACCTATTTTATGAAAAATTCAAAACCGCCCAAAATGACTTACGCAATTCGGTTATTAGCGTGACGATATGTGAATTCAAATTTATATGTATTTATATATTTATTATTTATTCAAAAATATATGTATATGTAAATTCAAATTTTAATGGAACATTTTATTTAAAGAAGAAGCAAAGCTATACAAAATAGAGCATATGTCCCACTCAGTTACTGTCAAAGATGATCTACATAGTCTAAAATAAATTCATTTTTTCAATTTCACTGTCGTAAACTGGTTAACACGTCATCAAAATCTGTTTTTTTCCAATGTTTCTCTTTCAACACTTAGAATGCAAGATCACGGAGACGATCCTGTCCCGTTGATGCACGCGAATACGACAAAATAAGTTTCAATCTGCTGAAAGACCGTTCACAGCTTGCAATTGAAACTGATATTGTTAACAAAATTTGTAGAGAAATTCGCAGATTGAATAAAACGTCGTCTCCAAAAGACACAATAAAACCAAGAAGAGCCAAAGGAGTTTCTGGTTGATCTACAGTTCTGTTACTGAGCAGCATTCTGCAATCTCCAATTTCGGTGAAAAGTTCGTGGCCATTGATGTCCGTGTGGTAGAGATTTGCAAAATCTGTGCAATCTCGACGAATTGTCGAAAACGGCATTGAGGTCTTTTAGCACAGTATAATATATTTTATGTAACTCTGCCGCAAAGTACGGTACTTTGACAACAAAATACAATCCACGTATTACTCAAAACATGTATTAACATCATTCAACCAAATTCCGTTTCCATTTGTCTCCAGCACAGAACTAATATCAACTTACATCCGAGTGCGCAGGCAAGAACTTAACGATACAGAACCACGTAATTAACCCGGTGCATTTTGTTACCTAACGTTACCAAATCAAATTTTGCTTTGTTTTCCGGCCAATTTTTTTGGCCATGTAATTACGATGGAAATCTGACCGTGCTATGTGCGTGATGACGTCGGCAGTCGTAAGTGGTCTGACCAAGTGTGCAGTTTGCCATGTACTAAGATTAGATGTCTGCCGCCGGTGCGATCTTGCTTGTGACCGTTTTTTACCTTTGTTGTGAAATTTTTGCCAGCCCCATTTTGGCGCCCCTGTACCTTGGCGCCCGGGGCATATGTACCCCACTGCCCCCCCCCCCCCCCCTAACGCCTCTGGTGCAGAACGTGTTATATTGATGAAATATATATTTTTAAACATAAAAAATTGCTGAAACTGATTAGATATTTTGGGGATTAGACATTGTAGATACTGAGAATTACATTCGTTTTTGGAATGTTTAGTTTTCAGGACTGGTGCATATAGTAAAGTCGCAAAATTGCGTATGTCCCCAAGTCATAAACACATTTCTGCCTAAGTCACAGTGCGCCATTATGACGTCACTTAACTGCGTCATACAAATTGACTTAAATCCGGCTACGATCAAAAAATTGAACCATGCGTTTTTCTCAAAACTGCTCAAAATGACTTACGCAATTCGGTTATTAGCGTGACGATATGGTTCTTTCACTTTTTCGAAATCAATTATTTCGAATTGGCTATAAATATCCATGATCATTGAATACCGCAATATGCTTGAGTACTGCTATCTCGCGATATCATTACCTTGTTTTCGTAGGTTACTAAATCCCAAATTCTCGCAGTTCTGTCGTCGGATCCGGTGAGAAGATAACTACCACTTGCTGATATATCCATACAGTTGATACCCCCAGTGTGACCTCCTAGGGTCTATGAGAGATGTAAAAAAAATGATCACAGTGGTCACCCGAAAGGGATGTAACAAATGCTTAGGCGACAATGTTGCTTTGTCGGGCGACCACAAGCAAAACTACAATTTGATGAAGAAATGTTATGAATACGAGTAAAGTGGTGATTATCGAAAGACTATTGAGTCCACGGATATTAATTTAATATTGATTAGACCGGTGGTTGTCAGCCTTTTTTGTTTCATGGCCTACTTCCGTTGCAAAAAAAATCTGTGACCCAATACTTGCTTATGCAAGGGGAAAAACTACAAGTGAAACAAAAAAATTATTTTCGCGAAAATAGTTACGTCCACCTTGATAATTACAATGAAAATTACGATTTAGTAGTAAAAACAGCATTATCATTCGTTTTTAATACAATCAAATTTGACTAAATTATCGATAAGTCTAGCAATACCCAATAGATTTGTGGCCCGCCTCGTTTCTGTGGCCCAGCAGTCGGCCATGGCCCACTGGTTGAGAACTGGTGAACTAGATGCACGAAAGTACACACGAAACAATACAAAATTAAAACCCATATGGGAAGCAAAATCGCCCAAAGTAATTTTAACAACAACTTCGTGGAAACCATCTGACCCGCACTATTTTTAGCGGGGACTTTTCATACCGAACGACTAAAATATATCACGTTCCCACTTTTTTAAAAGCCGTTAAAAATACATAGAAATATAAAGATACAAACCTTTAGTAGTTGTTTACGCTTATCGCTTCCTCTATTCGACCCTGGTTTACTCTTTTTGCTTTGAACCTCCTGACCCATGACTTGTTCAGTGCAAATAAATTTAAAATCATATTGTTATGGAATCTGATTCGACAAAATGAAATAATTCAAGTCAATATTGTGAAAATATATTTATTATGAAATTAGAAGTAAACGACAAGACATTTAATTCTGCAGTTTAATAGGCTTACAAATATCAGTAACAAGAGAGCGATGCTCCAAATATACAAACGCCGAAGCCAAAGAGAAGCAGTTAGCCGATTCTGCCTCATTCAGTTAACAGTACTCTTTTACAGCACATTACCTTGTCTACCGTAAGTTACAGTGAAAAAACTTCGACTTTCGCGTAGCAGGGGAGTAAACCACGAGAGAGATAATTTTCATTACTTTTTGGAGACGTGCCATCACATGAATTTCGAAGTGAAAAACGATTCCCATATAGCCCCACAGACAGTTTTGAAATAAATAGAAATAATACCATTCTAGTGAAAAATACAATCTTTAACC